GGCATATAGTCAGTATGAGTACAAATGAGTTTGTGATGAGTCCTCCTATCATCTCAATACTGATAACTGCTGCTAGTAGGGGACCATTGATATCAGCATACAAAGTGAAGTTGTCGTCCACATCCACCATTGTTAGTTTATCTCTTCCTCCTTTTGTTGAATAGCATTATAATAGTATCCACCCACTAACTGAATCATGCATGCTACATCAAATGTGATGTATTGTAATCTAAATAATCTCCTTCATTAAAAGTGAACAAAATTTGAGCTATAATTACAATGCTAGACTTATGAGTTAAAATTTGCAAATTTTTGATAAAATATTTTACCTTCTGATCAAAACTGGATTTTTAAAGTCTTTATAACCACACCTTTAAAGTATAACATGGTGTACTTCTTCCTTCGTATTATCTATAAATGTACATGTACATGATGTCTCGTATAAATTACATAAGAAGTAGATGTATGGTATACATTGAAAATGAAGCCTACACCCTTTCAAGTGTATCTTCAAATTTGAGTTTAAAACAAAAATCATTTTTTCAAATTTCATTTTTTCAAAAATCAGATTTTCAAAATGGATGACAACTTCACTCTAAGTGCTGATATCAATGGTCCCCTACTAGCAGCAGTTATCAGTATAGAGATGATAGGAGGACTCATTGCTAACTCATTTGTACTCATACTGACTATATGCCATATAAAGACTTGGAAACAGCCCTCTACTATATTCCTTACTAACATGCTGATATCTTGTCCTCTTTGTGATGCCTTTCTCAATTACAACATAGATATTATTTAATATCTATGATTACAACTGCAGCAAGTGGTGAGTGGTTGTTCGGAAAAACTTACAAACAGAAAGTGAAAGTTTGCCAGTTTACGGCTTTCATGTTTTGGTTCTGTGTGATTGTAATCACAGAAGGCCTCGTGTTGCTATCATTTGATTGGTTCTTTTACATTGTCAAGTCTTTTGAATACAAGCGACACATGAACCGGAAAATATCAATAATAATAGTAACACTGTCATGGCTACTTGCTGCCCTGCTAACTATCCCACTATTGTTTGGTCTCGGGCGCTTTGGTTTTTCTTCAAGTTACGGTATTTGTGTCCCATGCTGGGAAGGAGAGCCTGGCTATGTAGTATACATGCTAATGGTATTCATCATTTTCATAATAAGTTTACATAGTTTTATATACTGTATAAGGACTTGTTTGTATTTATAGTTGCATTAAGACACAAAACTTTAGTGCTGACAGTTAATAAAAGAACAACAATAGCAAACAATATTTCAATTAACAATCATTGAGCAAAGCAGTCCATCAAACAAAAATACAAGTACATGCATTTATTTTAGAATTTTCTATGCATTTTTCTTTTAAAATTTTTCTAGCTAAAATTTGCTTACCAACAATCTTAGTCCAATAACAAGTTGCTGTACTCCTCATCCTATTGACTAAGCATGATACAGATCATTAAAAACATGCACAATATACAGGACAACTATAGTGCTCATGACTATAATAGCATGGAATATGTAAGTATAAATGGATAACTATGTAACTATATTGATGAAGTTGATGTGATTCTAGTGTTAGTGTCACAAATGTAGCTTCCTGATGAATTGGGTGTCATAGCTCTTGATCTCTTTTTACGTATTTTTAACAATCCAATTCTAACACACCAGCTGTATATTATATTCCTTACTTCACACCTGAAGTAGACCTGAGCCAGTGGAATGAGGATTGTAATCATAAAGATCAGGACACAAGTAGCTGCATAAAGTTGATGGGGTAGGGGAAGGAAAGGTCCAATCAGAGCAACTGCTGAGAAAAGAAAATAACAAACAATATGAGCAATAATGAGTGCTCCAAACAGCCCAATGAGTTTCCTTCTCTGAGTTATGTAAACACTGTCTCTGCAGTTCCTCCTAGTGTTCCTGTCCTTGAGATACTTCCTTGTATAACAGAAGGTCCAAGTTGAGGTTATTACAATGCTACCGATAAAAGTGAGTGTCATTACTAATACGTATATAGCAAGGCCTGGTTCATTTTCAAA